ATAGCTAAGAGCTTGTTATAAAATGAATTGGCCTTAGATTAAGAATAATTTAAGAGCATGGTTGAGATATTGAATATCGAATGACTTGGAATAAAATATTGAGAATATCATGAATGTTTGAATCATATATTGTGTGCATGATATCAAATGGTTGATTATGAATTGAGATTCAATTTATTTGGATGTTCGACGCTTTAGATATGCTTACTCAGCTTCATCGCTGAGCGTGTAGTATGTTTTATTTGCTACACGCAGGTAGACAGAATGAGTGAATGGCATGTTCTTGGCAGCGGAAGGGGCGAGACAGTCGTGGTGGATTTATTGAGAAAATAAATGATTATGTTATTATGAATCATGTTTAAAAATCGCTTCCGCATTAAACACTCCGTATTTACTACAATTATGTTTGGAATTTCATTTATGATGAATAAAGTTATTTGAAATGTTTTAAATTATACGATTACCAAGTTAATACTTTAGTTCGGAAGGAGTTGTAAACCTGGACGGATTAGGGTGTTGCAGGGATCATGTCATGTTAAAAATTCCAAACAATATTTGGATTTTCTAAAAGATGTATTTTCACTTTCAGATTGAAATTATTGGATACACCTTAGAGATAATTGAATAACAAAGTAAGGAATTTCTGTGGTTATTTTTGAATATATCTTCTTGAATATATCTTTTTGACTAATCTTGCAATCAATTTAATGGATGCGAGAAAAAAGGAGAACTGCTAGTTGGCGCCACTTTCTAAAGATTGCGTCTATTCGCCCGAATTAGTTTAGAGGAAGCGGGTTCGGTCTTCTTTCGTACACATTCAAAAATAAAAAATCAAATGAAATTTTACCACAACACTTTGTTCGCAATGACCCCAGCCAGAGGTTACCACCCCTTGAACCCTGCTTTTTAGGGGCATTGTTCCCGGACCCCCGCATGTGCAAAGGGGCACTGCCCTTGCAAACGAGACTATTATCATAACAAGTTCAAAAAATATACACTTCGCACCACCAAACATCTTTGATAATTATTATCATCACATTAGTCACATAGTCATTCCAATTAGACTAAAATATATAACATATCTTACTAAAATCAACCCATGCCTTATTGTTTTGATGTTAAAAAAATATTAACATTCAACAATTTTTTAAAAAATGGAGCACCACACTACAAGAAAATCCGTCTTTCGCCGCACTTAAAATTGTTGTTCCCCACACATATAAGTGTGAGAGAGAGTGTTTGCCGCACATGTACTAAGTGTGGCGGCTGGCTCTGTGGGGAATTTTTTACCACACTTAAATTAAGTGCGGCTAATGAATACTTTAACAACACTTATAAGTGTTGTTAATATTTTAATTTGTGACATTTATATGTGTTTCTAATGCACCGCACATGCAAATGTGGCAATTTTTTAAATTTTTTTTTAAATGCAATGGAATTTATATTAAACATTATATATATATATATATATATATATATATATATATATATATATATATATATATATATATATATATATATATATATATAGTGTGGTGCGTATGTAATGTATTTTTTAAATTAAAAGAAAGTTTTATTACAAAATGAAAAGGAAGGTTATAGAAGAGGGGAGGACATAGACCAAAGCCCCTTAAAGAAACAAATTGTTAGAATAAAGGATCAACGCTAGAGGGCAGGGGGTGAATAGCGTTTGATCGTAGAAGTCGCAGGAATTAAAAAATTTAAAGGAGAAGAAAAGAGAAGAGTAAGAGGCACACCGAATTTACCCTGGTTCACCACAACTTGTGGCTAATCCAGCCTCCCGAGAGACTCTCTCGAGCTACACTACTTCCGTTAAGATTACGGGTGCTTAACAAACCGTTACAACCTGAGAACTCGAGTCCCACGAGCCTCAACAATACTTGCTTAAAGATACCGCACTCCAAGACTTCAACCCGAAGGAAAATACCTTTCATTCGTACAACCAAGGGAAACAAGCTTCCCTTAACGTGTATACAACACTAAGACACTCAAGAACAAGACTCTCCTTAAGAGTGGATATTGAGTAAAATATATACGCTCAAGAACAACTCAAACTTCACACAAGTTGGCTCTAGAAAGCTATGGAAAATAATGTGGTTTGGATGCAATGATAATATGAATATTGTGAAGTGAATTGATAATAAAAGCAGACCCAAACACCCCTTTTTATAGTGCCAAAATAGGCTCCAACGGACCAATATATTAAAGGGGTGATTGGCTTGATTTATGGGATTGAATAAATTTGGGATCTGCAGGATATTGGCTTCCCATCGATGTTTGGACTCACCCATCGCTGGTAAGCCAATTTTCCTTCAGTTTTGAAGCCAACGGTCACCTACCCATCGATGGGTACAAGCTTCACATCGCTGGGTGGGAGGTTGACTTCCAAACAAGGAAAGAATCAACCTTAAATGACTTCCAACGGTCATTCCTAACCAGCCATGGGTATGCCCTCAGGTTCCCATCGCTGGGTAAGGGCATTCTGCCTTGTGAAAATGTTGGACCAAGGCTTAAACAGCGATGGGTAGAACTTCCCATCGCTGTTTGGCATGGTTCTGGAAGATGGTTTGGCTAAGGGACCGCTTGCCCATCGATGGGAAGTTCTTCCTATCCCTGGGTGGGTGGTTAGCCAAAAACCTATGGTTTTTGCCTTAACCACGGCCTAGCCAACCGATGCAAAAACTGACCGAAAAATCCAAAGTTCTCCAAAATAAAAACCAAGTGTTTAAAACACTTATTTGATGTATTTGGCTAAGAAATAGAGTGAGACATTTTAAAAACCACGTCATTTGGGTAAAAACCATGGCTAGCCAAGTTTATGCCGTTTTACGTGGTTTTTGCCAAACGACCAAAACCGAAAGGTGGTTTTTAATATGTTTTTGTTGGAGAACTGTTTAAACTTGCCAAAAAGTAAAAACCAATCATAAAATGTTGAAAATCACTTGGTTGGTTCGGACGCCAAAAGCTAACACCGAAAACCGAATGCTGAACACCGGTTTTTGAAAGCCGAACGCCGGATGGCTTGGTTTTTGGTTTGGGCGAACACCAAGTGTTTTTAATGTCTTGAACAGGTTTGAAAAACATTTTTATGATATTATAAATGCAAAAATAGATTTTAGCCTAAAGAGCCAAGACGTGAGGTTTGGGTCGGTCTTGATCACAATTGTGACCGACTCAACAATACTAAGACTACGGTCTTCGTTCTTGGTCTTCTTTTAGCTCTTGTTCTTATCTTCGTTCTTCACCTTGTATATTCAATGACTTGTCTCGTTCTCGGCGGTTTGGCATTATCAAAACCTGTCATAAAGACGAACACGGCTTTAGTACAAAAACGTGACAAACCCGTGTTTCAACAATTTCCCCTTTTTTGATAATGGCAAACAAGACGAGGTTATGCATAGGAAGATTTAAAAAAAATGTTCCCCCTTAATAAAAATAATTTGATTTTTAACAAAGTGTTTGAGAAAAAAATTCCCCCTCAATTAATGCATAACCTTTATATCTTCCCCCTTTTGTCATTAACAAAAAGATTTAAAAGTAATTTTTATTCATTAAAAAGGGAAATGCGGAATACAACGGAATGGAAATAATTAGAAAATACAATCATATTAAAAGAAAGAAGATTCTAGGAGTCGGCGTCGGCGTCCTCGTCGTCATCCTCGTCGTCCTCGACGTCCATGGGATCGCCGTCGACCGCATCTTCAAAGTCGGCCTCGTCGGGGGAGGAGGACGAAGCGTAGGAGTCGTCGTCCTCATCCTCGACTTCAAAGTTTTGGCCAAGAATGGTGATGTCGAAAGGTGGCGGAACGTAGTTGACGCCACGGAAGTATGCCATCATGTCGTGGTGTTGGCGTTGCAACGTCTAGTCCATCCGCTCGATTGACTGCCCCATGCCATCCACTGTGAGGGTTAGCCGATTCAGGGTATCGGCTATGGATTGCAAAGAGGCCTTGGCGGGAGCGGGGGCTGGTGCACGACTTGGGCCTGCGCCGTCTCTGTTTCCGGACTTCTTCCAGAAGGTGCTGTCGGCGATCATCCAAAGCTTCGTCATCTTCGTGTCTGGCCCGGCGATGTGGATATTGGCGGAGACGATGATGTCCATGATGAGGAAGGCGTACGGCAAGCTCCGCTCGGTGGCGAGTGAGGCGCAATCCGCCATGTGTATCATGACAAATTTTGCCCAATTGATGGAGGCACCGTGGATGATTGCATGAATCGCCTTCAAGTCCTCATTGAAGAGCGAGGTGTGGCTGCTGTCCCGGGGGCGAAGAATTCGGGTGATGAGGTAGAGAAGGAGGCGTTTGTCCGGTGGGGCCGAGTGGATTGTCGGCGCGCCGCTGTGGTGGATCAAGTTGGTGATCCCAAGCTCGCGAATGACGACCGCCTCGTTGTTGAGGATCCAATCGTCGCCACCGTATGTCGCGATGTCGTCACCGCGGATGGGCAGCCCTGCGATCCGTGCAAATGTCGGCAAGTCAATCTCTATGTCGTAGAGATTGATGCTGCTGTAGATGGTGTCCCCGTCAAGGCGCAGATTTGAGTAGAAGGCCTGGACATAGGCAGGATTGTAGGAGGTGCGGCTTGTGGAGACGAAGGGCCACAAACCTGACTCTTTGAGTTGATTGTCGAGGTCGTGGTACCCTTTGTCTTGGGGGTACAGCTCCGGTAGCACGCGAGGCGGAGAGATCGGGCGTTTGGCAAAGTGATTGAGGAAGCGAGTAAGTTCTTCCTCCGAGCCAAATTCGAGGAAGGATCCATCCAGGTACGGAAAGGGTTGAGGCGCAGAGGTTGTGGCCTCGGTAGGGTCTTTCTTCTTGGATGCCTTTGACTTTGATCTTCCTCCGGCCATAGTTGTGGCGTTTTTGAAGAAAAAAGGAGATGAAATATTGAGATTTGGATCAAGGAATGAAATTATGATGTTAATGGTGTATTAGAATGAGCAAATATGAGGGATATACATAGGGAATGGGAGATTAGGCCGTTTGGATTCAAAAATATAGCTGTTGGGCAATTAATGTGGTGCCCAACGGCTTTGAATTTTTGAAATGCAACCGCCTTCCCAGCGATGGTAGAATCTACCCATCGATGGGAAGGTCACTACTGGAAAGCGAGGAAGAAAAGATGGCTACCTTCCGAGCAATGTATAGATTTACCCATCGATGAGAAGGTGCCTACTCGAAAGAGAAGAAAGATTCAAGGCTGCCTTCCCAGCGATGTTTGGAGTCTCCCATCGATGGGAAGGTGGTCACTGGAAATCCGTTAAAATATTTTTAAACAAAAGTGACAAACACTCAGCAATGGGAGGAAGTTCCCATCGATGGGTAGGATGGTTCTGAAAAAAATTTTTAAAACTAAAGTCATTCACCCAGCGATGGTACAAAGTTACCATCGATGGGTAGTGGACTTCTGGAAATCCATTAAAGAGTTTTTTTTTTTAAAAATGGAGTCAATCACCCATCGATGGGAGGAAGTTCCCATCGATGGTAAGAGGGGTTCTGAAAAAAATAAACTTCCCTCCCAACGATGGTATGAACCCACCCATCGCTGGTTCCCCCTGATTTCCAGATTTCTTCACTCCGAACCGTCCCTGCAAAAAAGCAACGCTTTGGTACCCAGAATATGTCTATGGGTCCTTAGGGGTTAGTTAACCTTTATTGCCCACACACACACCCAAAATTAGTTTCAATACGCCCACACACACACACTCACGCGATTAGATGATTGTTTAGGAGTTACCTTGCCCAACCCATCGTCTCGTGGTCGACGGGTTCCAATCTACCTGAACGGAGTGCCGATATCTTGGTGTGATTTGTGTCGGTTCCGGTAACGGAATGTTGACATTCTTCTTTTCGTCAAAGTAGAAGAAATAATAAGGTTTCTTTTGTGCATTGTCCTGTGGAGATTGTTTATGATTCGAATATCCTTTTCCAAAGGATTTCTTTTTATTAGCACCAAATTCGTTGTGTGTTTCATTGTAGGTGAAGTGCCTATGTATGGTGAAACACACGGGAGCTATATGTCCTACCCTATTGCAATAATGGCATACTACGTTTGGGTTGAACATATGCCTAGGTTGATAATAGCTAGGGGGTCTAACCATATTCATCCTATTTTGCGAAAGCATTGGTTTTTGAAAATTCTCCCTTCTAGGTGTCCTAGCATTATTTTGTCTATTTGAAAAATTATTTTTATGCACAAATTCATTTTGATAATTTTTCTTAGATTGTCTAACATGCACATTTTCATTCCTAGGTCTTTGTCTAGGTTGTCTAGTGTCCTTAAGTTGACTAGATTTTCTATTATCTTGATTTTTAAATTTCTTACGTTGAGCCTTAGGAGGTTGTCTAGGTGTTTGCTCAGCGTTTCTTTCCTTAGATTCGTTTTTATCAAAACCTAGTCCTTCCTTAGAAAAATGCATGGTGTCAAGGAGTAAGTTAAGATCTTTGTGTGGGGTATTGAATTTCTTAACCGTACTCTCAAGTTTTGCAACCTTTTCTTTTAAAGCTTTACAAGATTCACATTCACTTGAAGAGCTTTCCGGTTTGTCAGCGCTTCTTTTGCCATAAAATTTATTTTCTTGTTTTAGCTTTTCATTATCTTTTTCTAGTTTTTCAACATCATTTTCAAGAGTTAAAAGACGTTTCTTTAATTATTTGTTAATTTTAGAAGCGCTAACAAATTCATCATAAAGTTCATGAAGCGCTTCTTGCATTTCTTCAAAAGTGTAAGAGTCGGAAGAAATGGTACATACCTCTTGTTCATTATCGGTTTGGTCTTCGTGTGCCATGAGACAGAGGTTGGCAGTTTCATCCTCGTCTTGGTCGGTTGACTCGTCGCCGGAGTCGCCACCCCAAGAGATGTATGCTCTTTGCTTTTTGAAGTGGCGAGTGTTCCTTCCGTTTCTCGGGCATTTGTTCTTGATGTGCCCGGCTTCACCACATCCATAGCACACAGGGGCATCCTCAATCTTTTCTTTCTTTCTTAGAAGTTTGCAAAACTTCTTCATGACAAGCTTGACTTCATCATCATCGCTTGAGTCATTCATTGTCGGTTCTTTGGAGGCTTTTAATGCTATGCCTTTTCTCTGGTCATTCAAAGACGGGTTAAGTATAGTAGATTCATAAGTTTTTAAGTTACCTTTTAAACCGTCGATGGTGACATTTGATGTGCCGATTGACTCATAGATGACATCGGCCTTAGATCGCCATTCGGATGTCAAGCTCCGTAGGATCTTTCACACAAGATCCCTGTCGGTGTAGGTCTTCTTCAAAGCATGAAGATCGTTGACTATCTTGGAGAATCGGTCGAACATGTCGTCGATGTTTTCGTGCTCCTTCATTCTAAACATCTCATACTCTTGGGTGAGGAAGTCGATCTTGGCTTCACGTACTTGGTCCGTTCCTTCGTACGTCACCTCAAGTTTATCCCACATCTCCTTGGCGGTTGAGCAGCAAGAGATTTTGCGGTAGTCATCAGGATTTACGGCACAATAAAGCATGTTTATTGCCTTTGCATAATTCTCGACCTTTTTGATGTCCTCCGCATCAAATTCATCTTCGGTCTTGGGGATCAATTTGTCCTCAACTTTCTTCATCGGCACCTCTTCCCCGTTTTTGATAACCAACCATAATTGGAAGTTCGTGGAACGAATATAGATTCTCATTCGTTCTTTCCAATATGTATAATTGGTTCCATAAAAAAGAAGTGGCCGTGTGGTTGATTGCCCTTCACCTATTCCTGCATACAAATTTCTAGAAAAAGAACCCATGATCGCTTTTACTCTCAAACGGTTAAGTTTGGACGCGAGTTAGGCTCTGATACCAATTGTTAGAATAAATGATCAACGCTAGAGGGCAGGGGGTGAATAGCGTTTGATCGTAGAAGTCGCAGGAATTAAAAAATTTAAAGGAGAAGAAAAGAGAAGAGTAAGAGGCACACCGAATTTACCCTGGTTCACCACAACTTGTGGCTAATCCAGCCTCCCGAGAGACTCTCTCGAGCTACACTACTTCCGTTAAGCTTACGGGTGCTTAACAAACTGTTACAACCTGAGAACTCGAGTCCCACGAGCCTCAACAATACTTGCTTAGAGATACCGCACTCCAAGACTTCAACCCGAAGGAAAATACCTTTCATTCGTACAACCAAGGGAAACAAGCTTCCCTTAACGTGTGTACAACACTAAGACACTCAAGAACAAGACTCTCCTTAAGAGTGGATATTGAGTAAAATATATACGCTCAAGAACAACTCAAACTTCACACAAGTTGGCTCTAGAAAGCTATGGAAAATAATGTGGTTTGGATGCAATGATAATATGAATATTGTGAAGTGAATTGATAATAAAAGCAGACCCAAACACCCCTTTTTATAGTGCCAAAATAGGCTCCAACGGACCAATATATTAAAGGGGTGATTGGCTTGATTTATGGGATTGAATAAATTTGGGATCTGCAGGATATTGGCTTCCCATCGATGTTTGGACTCACCCATCGCTGGTAAGCCAATTTTCCTTCAGTTTTGAAGCCAACGGTCACCTACCCATCGATGGGTACAAGCTTCACATCGCTGGGTGGGAGGTTGACTTCCAAACAAGGAAAGAATCAACCTTAAATGACTTCCAACGGTCATGCCTAATCAGCCATGGGAATGCCCTCCCATCGCTGGGTTCCCATCGATGGGTAAAGGTTCCCATCGCTGGGTAAGGGCATTTTGCCTTGTGAAAATGTTGGACCAAGGCTTAAACAGCGATGGGTAGAACTTCCCATCGCTGTTTGGCATGGTTCTGGAAGTTGGTTTGGCTAAGGGACCGCTTGCCCATCGATGGGAAGTTCTTCCCATCGCTGGGTGGGTGGTTAGCCAAAAACCTATGGTTTTCGCCTTAACCACGGCCTAGCCAACCGATGCAAAAACCGACCGAAAAATCCAAAGTTCTCCAAAATAAAAACCAAGTGTTTAAAACACTTATTTGATGTATTTGGATAAGAAATCAAGTGAGACATTTTAAAAACCACGTCATTTGGGTAAAAACCACGGCTAGCCAAGTTTATGCCGTTTTACGTGGTTTTTCCAAACGACCAAAACCGAAAGGTGGTTTTTAAGATGTTTTTGTTGGAGAACTGTTTAAACATGCCAAAAAGTAAAAACCAATCATAAAATGTTGAAAACCACTTGGTTGGTTCGGACGCCAAAAACCAACACCGAAAACCGAATGCCGAACGCCGGATGGCTTGGTTTTTGGTTTGGGCAAACACCAAGTGTTTTTAATGTGTTGAACAGGTTTGAAAAACATTTTTATGATATTATAAATGCAAAAATAGATTTTAGCCTAAAGAGCCAAGGCGTGAGGTTTGGGTTGGTCTTGATCACAATTGTGACCGACTCAACAATACTAAGACTACGGTCTTCGTTCTTGGTCTTCTTTTAGCTCTTGTTCTTATCTTCGTTATTCGCCTTGTATATTCAATGACTTGTCTCGTTCTCGGCTGTTTGGCATTATCAAAACCTGTCATAAAGACGAACACGGCTTTAGTACAAAAACGTGACAAACCCGTGTTTCAACACAAATGGTACCTGAGATTATACAAAGAATTAACATATATAGAGTAGCTAATGCCCATCCAAATTCCAAATAACTAAACACAATCAAAACTAAAATACAGGGCAACCATTGCTTTTACGGAACAATCCAACAATTTAACATAGTCCAAATGTTGTCAACTTTAGAATTTAGAGAAATGATGTGCCGCCCCTTCCCTTTTAAGCAATAACTCCATATCAACTAGTGCAAAAGTTATCAACTTTAGAATCCAGGAGAAATGTTGTGCCCCTGCTCTTGTAAGCAAAAAATTCCACAACAAGTAGTTAAAATCAGACATGAAGTCTACATTTTAATTTACAACACTCTCCCTAAGTTATGACCAAAGGAAACACTTTGAGCAATTCAAACTAATATTCATCTATATGTAACTCTAAAAGCCTTTGATATTGACCTCACAAAGAAGCTAGGTGGGAAAGGTAGACCTGCCCTGGACAAAGATTAAGAATCCGAGACTAAACACCATTCGTTTTTAAACTAGAAGAGTCATAACATGCAATCCTAATCTAGGCAAATTAAAACACAACCAAAACTTAAAAGAAACAGCAAACTATGAAGCAATCATAAAAAAGAATAAAAGACCAAAAATACATATTGGCATTTAATTAATTCTTGACCTTTGCTGCAACACTGTCATCCCTAGAAGAAAGCAAAAAACAAGCAAAGGCAAGAAAAAGTAATAAAACAGTTACGAAGTCCACTCACAGGAAACTTGTTCAATAGAAAAAAAGAGTCCAAAGTGAACTGGTAAGAACATCAATAACCACAGTTATTAGCAAAAAAACATTCCCAAAACTCATATCAAAGAATAAAGTCATGCTAAATATACCATGGGAAATAAATTCAAGATACTAAACACAGAAAAGAAAGAAAGCATTGCTCCTTACATAATCTACCAAACATTTGTTTCACTCTCCCCAGCCCCAAAGCCATAGTGTAGTTGCTTAAAATTTTGCCACTCCACTACAAACTTTGCCTTATTGTCACAACCTACACTTCAAAATAAAACAAGCCAAAAGAAGTTAATGAGAACCTTACTAAACAACACTTTGAGAAAATATCAAACACGGAGCCATAGACACTTAATTCTAACAAAGAAATAAGATAGCATGAAATATTTGAATAACTAAATAACAATATGTAAAGATGGACACTTTGCATTGACTTGAATTGTTTCTCTAGCGCATTGCCTGCTGCAACCTGCAGCCCAGCCCAAACCCCAACCAACTGTGCCTTGCCCAATGCCCACCCTTCCGTCAAACTCGCTGCCTAGGTGAAATCCTCTATTACCCAGCTTCATTGTTTCCTAAGTTGTAGTAAGGGGCAGCTAGCCCCAACCCTGTACTCGTAATTGATCCATTAGCCTAGAATCACGACCCACAGACCCCTCTCTACCCAAAAAGATAGAAGCATCGTCAAGGCCCCTATGTTATAACCAACAAGATGGAGCATATAAATTCTTAGGATTATTACAAATGTAGTCTATTCTAGAAATTCATAGAAACTGTGTGCATAAATCCACAAATTATTCGGTACAATTGACAAGTATAGCCTCAGCTTTATGAAACATGACATCTCTAGTCACTTTTTTTTCTTTAAATATGACAATAAATTAGACAAACAAGGCAGATATATTGTACCAATTTAATTCTCTACCATAACATAAAAAGTTTAAGTACTAAAGTTGTTACTAAAATTATGATAAGTAAATAAATCAAATGAAAGTTTCATTGTTTAAAAGCAGTGGACATAATGCTCTAAAGTGTAGCAAATGGACACATGGTTTAAATCAAAACATTTCAAATTTGGTGATTTAAGTTACTTGTTAAATATTCAATGACCTAATATTAAAAAATAGGATCTGGAACCTAATTCTAAGTTAACTACACAAAATTAAGATTTAAGAGTAATTATAAAACACAAATGAGGGTGTAGGGAAAAACAGATGGTGCAAGAACTCTTACCATTCACAATAGTAAGTTCTTGAATCTTGAAATTCATTAGTGGTGTAACTGGCATAGTTGTCAAGTCAGCAAAATGAACTCCTTTGTTAGACCATCATCATCATTCAACATCTTCAATGAAACTTTCATATTAACAATGCCTAGTATCCAAAACAAATAAAATCACATTCTCATATTAACTAACCTACATGAACTATAAGAACTAAACTATACAAAAGGCACGAATATAATTTCACACTCTAAAAATTGGAGTAAAACTCAACAATGGCCTTCCAAGGTCAGTTTGCTGTTTAGAACAAATGACAGGAACAAAAGTAGTGCTACAAACTTCCCAGGTCAGTTTGATGTTCGAGATTCATGGTTCATGGATTTACCCAATTTCTCAAATCTATTTCACCCCAAAATCATAGTAAGTAGCATCAAACATTCATAAATGAAACCATACACAATTCACGACCCCTTTAGAAAAGGACCAGTACAGTGGCGGAAATAGGCTTGAACATGAACTGTGGCCACGATTGAAGGATACCATCACAACTCACAAGTTAATTGAATATGAAATCCAACATAGGTAATGAAATATCGCTATAAAACACCATGGAATCCTGAACAAATAGGGAAGGAAACAAGCTGTAACCTGATAAAGCAGAGAGCTCTAGTCGCGAGATGAGTAGTGGGACAAACCTCAACTTGAGGAATCGAAGTTGATGGTCTAGAAGGGAAAAAATCAATTTGCGATTTTTAATTTTATGACCTAGGTCTGGTGCGTGTAGATTGTAAAAGATTGATATACGAAGAAGAGAGTAGAACAGAGGAATCGAGATAAATAGAAAAAATAGATTTGGGATAATTGGTAATTGGACGGTTACCAATTATCAAATCTTATTAAGTGGTAACAAATGACTTTTTTTGGCCGGACAACTTTTAGAAGTGCGGTGAATCTAAATAGACACTAATTGCTTGCGGCAGTTAGTGGTGTTTGTTTTTTGGTAAGAAGAGCTTTTAACCACTTATGTCTGCACTGTGTAGACGCAGGCAGACATTAGGGACGCGCAGACTGTTTATTTTTTAGAAGACAAATCACTTAAAAACGTCTTCCAAACATCTTCCTCAAACAGACATAACCCCTTAGCTTCTCACGTCTTCTCATCCGCCTCCCTTCCAATTTCTCCCTTCTCAATCTAAAACCTACCCGTCTTCTCATCCGCCTCCCTTCCCGATCTCAAAACCTACCCCCGCCGGCGACTTCTCTTCCTCCGTCCGTCTCCCTCCTCATCACCTCCAGCGACGCCTCCTCCTCTCAAACAAGTAAGTTTTTTCACTTTTTTTGGTTTTTTAAATCTCTTTTTTTAACAATTTTTTAACAATTTTTTGTTACAGATTCATTCAAAGTTTGTGTGCCCGATTTTTGAAATCAGAGTTGTAAGCCATCTTGTCGGATTCTGCTCAATTGTTTATCGTTCTCTCGAAGGTAATGTTGCGTGCCCATTTTTCTGACTGGATTATTGTTCGTTTCTTGAATCGTTATGTGTGAATTTGGGGTTTTGGAATTAAGAAATGAAAGCAAACTACTGTTCTTGAGATTGTGTACAATTCTTGTTCATGGAGAAACTCCAGTTAGTACATATATATATATATATATATATATATATATATATATATATATATATATATATACAAACTTGTGATTATCCGCACTGGATGAGGGAAGTGCCTTTGGTGTTGTTTGACTCTGTTTTTGTTGTTAACAATTTGTACAATAGTCTATGTTTTTTATATTTTTGTTATTACGGAATAGAGTAATTGAGTAATCAAAGTTAAAAAATACAACAACAATTAGATCCCAATACAACAACATAGCATACCGTCGGGCCAGGGGCGACCCCGTTTACTAATCTGCGTAGCGGCAACACAATATAGATTCAAGGCATATTAACAAATCTCATCCTTGCCGGAAACAATTTGTACAATATTTTTTTATTTTTTATATAATCGTGAACAATTTGTTGTTACTTGTTGCTAAAGATTGCTGTAGTAGTTCATGTTGTTGCTCTTTGTTTGTTAATTAACAGAAATGGGAGAAAAACAACAATGGTCAAATGAGCAAATAAAATGCTTATTAGAGACTTGTATTGAAGAGGTAAACACGTTGGGTAGAAAAGGGTTGATTTTGCACAAAGAGTCGTGGAATAAGTTAGGAAGAGTTCTCAAGGAAAGGTTTGGGCTTGATTTGAGTCAAAAACAGATGAGAAATGCGTATGACAATCTGAAAGCCAAATATAGTGGATGTGTGTATTTGAAAAACAAAACTGGCAACATATACAATGCTCAAACAAATACTTTTACCTTAACGAACGAGGAATGGGAAGATTTTAAAAAGGTATGTTCCTATGTGATGGATATCGGGTCTGATAGACCCGACTCTAGGCCCAATAAAGGCCCATAATAGCACAATATGGATAAGGCCAGGTGGGGGTAACGGGCCGTGTAACACCCCAACTCGAATAACCCAATTACATAAGATATTTTAGCCGAAGTAGTTACCATGATGGTAA